ATGTAAATAAGCTAAAAATATATAAGTATAAAAACAAACTATGCAAAAGTTTTGGTTTCAATTCAAATTGAACATTTTATTGTTTTCAAGCACTTTTTAGCTATACCTCGTAAACCCCTTTGTTGATCAGCAATACTCGATGGAGACACGAGTTCAAGTCAAGCAACAATAAATAAATAAAATACGAATTGAAAGTATATTGAAGCTGGTATAGGAAGTTCGCTTGGAGCCGTTGAGTGCAATAGAGAGGGAGTTCAAAGTAGAATCGTTATATATCATCATCATCAGATCAACTAGAAGTTATCTTACGCATTTAAGCTGTGTAGAACAGAGAATGCAATGAGGTATATCAGAGGAATAGAGGCACAAACATTAATAAAATACATAATAGAACACTATATATACCTTTTATTGAATGATTCTCTATGAAACTAACGAGCTCTATAACTTCTGCTCAGGCAGAACATCTATATATAATTTATTTTATATATAATATAAATTATAAATATTCGCATACAATAATATATATTTGTTTATATATCCTTTCTCACATATTTATTCTCCTATATCCTATATATTTGATATATTTTCTCATAAATCAAATATCGTATAGATCTCTCAGAACATTTTATATATATTCTCTCAACCATCTTATACAAATATATTATTATATATATTCTCATATATCTTCTCATTATAAATTTTCTCATATAATATCGCATTTTTCATGTCTTTCACATATCTTATTTGTAATTTCATATAGCCTCTTATGGGTTATATATATTGTTAATTTGCTCTTATATATATCTTGAATCAAGTTCTGAGAAAATCTTAAATATTAAAACAAATGAAACGAATTACTTGCATAAGTTTTTTTTTTTTTTAATTTTTTAATTAAAATTCCAGAATAATTTTCATGACTTAATAATAATTGGCCTAGATTAAAATTTTGTTTCTAAAATAGCAAAACTAATTTGAAGAAATTCAACTTCAAATTTTGAACATGAATGAGATCTGATAACAAAGCGTTACTGAGAGAGATATCTCTCTTTCTCTTTCTCTCCGTTCGTCCCTCTCTCTCTCACTCTATCTCCAGCTCTCTCTCTCTCCCTCATCTATCTCAACATACTACTATTTATGTGACTAAGGTTAAGATCAAACAGATCTTTGCATAAGTTGAACCAAAGCCTGGGCTAATTATTCACGAACCATTTTTGTTTCCTTGGATTTCTATGGGGTTTGCAACAACGCTAAATACATTTATATATTGGTTTACATTATAGATTGCAGTTTTTACTTGGCTTTATTTTTAAGTGAATTCACTCGTATTAACGCTAATTTACGTAATTTGTCAGTTTTGAAGTTTGTACAGCTTAAATTATGAGCAGTCAGCCGAAAGGGAACATTGAGCCTTGCTGACTGACAGAACATTATAGTTGATATATTAGATGAGTACGTACTACGTAGATATACACATATGCACATACATATAGATGTAGTACATACGTATATGTATATATTATTGTAGATCTTTGGAAAGGAAACAGTTGACTATTTAGCTAAAAGCTAAAACAAAATTCGCAGTGCACACGGAATAGGTTTGAAAATATCGCTCTTTTTCTTCTCTTCTCTTCTCTTCTCTTCTCTTCTCTCTCTCTCTCTCTCTCTCTCTCTCTCTCTCTCTCTCGCTCTCTTTCTTCTTTCTCTTTTGTTTTGTTTTCGTGAGTTTATCACAGGAGGAACTCGTAGCAACCTATAGAATATGGCCTCTTTAGTATTGCTCGGCCATGAGCAGGACGACGAGTCCGCTCCAGCCGGTGAACGGCCTGCAGCCCTTGCCCTCGCCTGTGCTATCGTCGTACTGCTCCCAGATGTAGCCGCTGCGCTGATACTGCCGGAAGACGTTCTTCACCAGATTCTCGCGCAGTTCGCCGTAGATCTTGCGCGCCAGGTCGGCGTAGGGTCCGTCGGCCTGGCCGTAATGCCGCAACGCCTTGACGGCCAAGTAATTGATGTTGATCCAGATGGGACCGCGCCAATAGGGCGGATCGTGTTCCGTATTCCGCTTCATATACATGGGCGAATTCTTGGCCAGCGAACGCAGTCCATAGTTGGTCCAGAGCAGCTCCGGATCGCGCATATCTTTCAGCATCTTGCCCAGATAGGGCGAATCATGGTCGAGCTGCTCCAGCAGCATGGGAAACAGACTCACATAGCCGAACATATTGTCGACGAACTTGTAGTCCGGCTGCTTGGAGACATAGCGGCGCATCTCCTGCTGCACCTGTGGGGCGCCACCAGCGCCGCCGCGTTGTCCCGCCGTGCGCTGTGGCGCCAACACCGGCGGACGTTTCAATGTCACCGAATCGGTGTGCAGGCCCCAGTCGGCATAGTGCTCACTGTACGGATCCAGATGCAGTCGATTGAGCCGTTCGTTGTCCGTCAGATACGACAGCGTCTCGTAGTACTTGACATCGTTCTTGCCCAGCAACGTGGACAGCTCGGCCATGACGCCGGCGGCCAGGGCAATCCAGCAGCGCAGATCCACGTGACGCTCGCGCATGGTGGGGTGCGAGGCGCGCGGATAGTCGTCGAGGCCGGAGGACAAGCTCTTGGGATTCAGCTCGCGCACGGTGCTCGCATTGCGTCCCTGCCACAAGTAGGTGCCAAGGATTTCACCTGCAAGGGGAGAGAAGTGAGTGAAATGGCGAATGCATAAAAGAGACAAAGAGTGAGTGTGACTGAGAGAGAGGGAGAGGAAGAGGGAGAGGGAGAGATTTACCGCGCTGCGTGGTGTTGTACCAGTTGAACCAGGCCTGCAGCCTCGGATAGAGCCGCTCCAGGGTAGCGAAGCGTCCCTTTTGGGACAGCTGTGCCTTGTGCTGGGTGAGGAGCTTGTGCAGCGTGAGGAAGAACGTTGGCGGATTGGCGTTGCTGTTGCGCTGCGTCACAAACTCTTCGGGCACCTTGGCCAGTGCTTCGACGCCCAGAATTTGCTCCCTGGGTATCCAGCCCTCCACATTGAGCAGATCGAACCAATGACAGATGATGTCCAGCTCTATGTCAATGTCCCAGGCGCTCAGCAACAGGCCGTGGAAGCCCTCGTCCCAGAGGAAGCCGCGCGGAAAGAAGCTGCGCGACGGCACGGCCGTATACAGCGGCGCCTTCCAATACGGCACCGGATTCTGGGTGTGCACAGACTGCACCCGGCTGGCGCCATAGAAGTACCCAATGCCGCCGATCATATTGCTGAATGCGTTGCGTGCGAAGCGTATCATATCCGGCGCATAGCCCTTGGCGGCCAGCTGAAAGGTTGCCTCGAAGCGCTTGTCGAATTCGCCAATCTTCGCCTGCAGCGCGTCCGTGTAGGCGCGTCCCGTGGGCGGCTTCGGTATGGATTCGCCGAGGGCAAAGCCCGACGTCGACTGGTACGTAATGTCCAGCGTGAAGTCCACCTCGGCCGTAATCTGTATGGCAATCAGATTCGGTTCGGGATTCGTTGACGGCACGCCGTTCTGGGAGACAATCTCGCCGGGAAGGCCAATGAATCGATTGCCACGCTTGCTGGGAAAGGCGCGAAAGTGGGCGAATATGGTCTCCTTGAGCTTGCTCAGATTCGGCGCCACGGTGCTCAGATAGGACTTGTGCTGGATGCGCCCCTTGACCGCATGGAAGCGCACTTGGAACTCGCCTAATCCTTGACTCTCGCCATAGACGCCCGGTTCCGGACTTTTCTCATCGGAGACGTACTTGATGTGACCATTGGTGCGCTCGTCCAGCGCCACGTACCAGATGAGCGAGATGCTCCGGTCCCAGGCACGCGTCGTATTCCGCACCGAGATCCGGGCCGTCCAATCGCCGCCGTATTGCTTCTCGCCGGGAAACTTGACAAACGACGTCTTGATCTCAAAGGGCAGATCCTGTATCTCCTGCACCCCGAAGCTGCGCCCATCATGATGCGTCCAGCCATAGCCATCCAAATTGTCGCCCTGCTCGCACCAGTGCCTAATCCCATGCCCATCAGGTCCCAGATTGCTGGGCGTGTACCACATCAGACCCATAACCAGGGAATGGGGATCGCGTGTCTTCATGCCGAAGTACGTATGTGGGCGATACGAGCCCCAGTAGCGCTCCGGATCGTCCAGGCCGCTGGCCGAGACCATTTTGTGGTTGTCGAACGGCGTATTCACGCGCGTCTCCAGGTACCCCAGGTAGCCAAAGTAGCTGGCCACGGCCAGCGAGAGGCAGCCGACGAGCGTCTTCCACTTGTCCAGCATCAGCTTTGAGGATAAATTGAAATTGTAATTTCTGTTGCTGCTGCTGCTGCGCTTGTGCTTGGCGTTCGCTGCGGCTGCCGCAGCCGCAGCCGCTGCTGCAGCAGAGGATGTACCGGCGGCTGTGCCCTGGTGATTGCCCGTAGCGCTTGATTTGGCTGCATTGTTGTTGTTGCCGCCTGCATTGCGCGCCATCCTTAAGTAGCCTTAACGTCAGTCGACCAAGGTGCAAAATTACAGTTGATTTCAGTTCTCAAACACGTATACAACAATAGTGGACAATCGGAACGAATGGCTGTTAGAAATGCGCTGTTCCGCTCAGGTTCAAAATTAGTTCACTTGATGATGTGCCAAGTATTTAGACTCCAGCAAGCAAGTCAAATTGATTGATTAAATGTAATTAGTATACCTCTTTAGCTCAATCTAATTTTAAAGCAAATCATAGTAAATATCAGAGCCTGTCTAAAAATTGTATCTTATCTATCACAGCCGCTGTCAAGGCTCAGATGACGAACTAGTTCACTTGACGAGCTCCAAGTGCTGGCAAAGGCAAGCTGTTGAATTTAATTTGTAAGATATGTTTATTAAAATCAAATTTATTTTAAGCAAATCAATACAAATATCTATCTACATTGTTCATAAATCCCAATACATTTATGAACTAGAACCGTCACGAACATTCTGAGCCAATTCAAATATGCCCCGTCTATCGCAGTCGTTGTTAAGCACTTATCGATACATCGCTTATTGCGGCATCGATACCTCAAGCCAAAACAATTTTGTTATTCTCCGTGCATTTTCAGACAAAATTAAAGAAAATGGAAACAACTTCAGTGCAGAAGGTCAAACGCTCGTTTAAGCGTCCATTTATATTTCCCAGAAACTGTGTTTACCGGCCGCTGCGACAGCTTCACAACATTGAACGGAATCAGAAGCTGCCGCCCGACCAGCCGACATGTAAATATGCAAAGTCTGAACGTTGACGGTCGAATTTGTTGTAATGTTTTCTGGTTCACTTCGCAGACTTCACGCTCAATGCGCCGCCCTCACTCATACCACCCAAGAAATACTCGGATATAAGTGGGCTGCCAGCGCCATATGTCGATCCCCACTCCAAACTGCGCTTCGCCAATGCCGAGGAGTACGGCTCAATGCAGCAATTGCCATCGGACATCATCAACGGCTACCTGACGTTGCGTGGCTTCACCAGCGCCGTCGGCTAGCAGCAGCAGTGATGCCAACTTTAGAGCTAAATGAAAAAAGCTAGTTTTACATGATCGATAGGAGAGAAGCAAAAAGCTAATTTGTTGTAGTTTCTTAACTACATACATATATAAATTAAATTAAGTTTTGTCAATCATAAATTTATATGTTATTATTATTTATATATATTATATATATTTTTTAAATGCCAATAAAGTATTTAAGAGAAAATGTAATGCGGACCGAGATAGAGAAGGAATGTTGAATATTTAGAGATGTTAGAAAGTAAGTTCAGTTAGATAAGACAGACAGAGGGAGATAGCATAAGAGCTCAGTTGCGTAAGACAGACAGAGAGAAAGCATGTGAGATCGTTTGGGTAAGATAGAGAGCGGGAGAGCATATGAGCTCAGTTGGGTAAGAGAGATAGAGGTGGATAGCATGTGAGTTCAGTTGAGTGAAACGAATAGAGAGAGATAGCATATGAGCTCAGTTGGGTGAAATGAATAAAAGCGTATAAGCTCTGTGGGTAAGACAAAGAGGGGTAGATAGCCGTTGAATGCTATATCATATGAATTCAATTAAGTAAGACAGAGAAAGCATATTAGCTCAGTTGGGCAAGGCAGAAAGAGATAGCGTTTGACCTCAGTTGAGTAAGGCAGAGAAAGAGAAAGATAGAGAGAGAACATTTAAGAGTGGCTGGGTACGATAATAGAGTGCTTTTATACCTTTAAATGTAAAAGCCAAATTTTGGGATTGTAGCTCAGATCGAGATGATTTTGTGATATTATATATAATACAACATTTACTTTTCTGTTTTTTGTTTAATAATAATATGCGAAATTTATTTAAGGTAATTATATATAAACATTTTACAAACTAAAGCTAACTATTTAATTGTTTGTCCAAGCAAGTTTCTGAAACTTCGTTGGTTTACATATGTGAGTGTGTGTGCGTATGAGTGTGTGTGTTGTGTGTGTATGTGTGTGTATGTGTCTGTGTGTATGTGTATGTGTGTGTATGTTTCTGTGTTTTGTGTGTGTGTGTGTGTGTGTATGTGTCTGTGTGTATATGTGTGTGTGTGTGGTGTCATTTCGATATTTCGAGCACATTCGGAAGAGATCGGTTGGATTGCTCGACGACTACTGGGACTAGTGCAATCCGCCTCTCTGCAAGCGTTTTGTTCAGAAGCGTGTGTGTTTAAGTTAAGCTAAATATTTCTCTCCGAGTGGCCAGGAAGCCTCGCAGCTGGCTGCAGCAACCCAACTGTGTGTACATACATATATATATAAATATATATATTTATATATATATATGTATATAGTATTAACTATGTGCTTAGAGTCGTTTAGTGTTAGATGTGCACAACAGTCGTAACGGTAACGGTAATAACAATAAATGCTAGCCGGCCTGGTTGATCGGTCGCGTAATACTGTTCGGCTGTGTGAGCATGTTCAGGTCCGCACGGAAGCTGCGCGGCAGGCCCGAGATGTCCAATTGATGCTTCAGCACCACCATTGTGGCCAGCGTCTTCAGTGTGGGCTCAAAGTCTAGCACATGCAAATCACTGTAATCGATCAATGTGGTTGTTGCTGCTGCTGCGGCTGCTGCTGCTGCTGCTGCTGCCGGCTGCTGCTGTTGCTGTTGTTCTTGCTGCGGCTGCTGCTGCTGCTGCTGCTGCTGTGTTGGCTGTGTCGAATCATTGGCACGCGATACCGCCGTCGGTGCCTGCGGTATGGCGCAGCGCGGACTTGTGCCGCCAAAGAGGAACATGCGCGTGCCCATGACAATGGCGCACTGGCGTCGTCGAGCCGTTGGCGCCTGTCCGTTGGCGCGCACCAGATTCCACAATTTGGTGCGCGGATCAAAGGTGTACAGATCGTTAAAGTGCTGATCCAATAGTCCATTGTAGCCGCCAAACACGAAGATCAGTTTATTGTGCACGAACATGCTGTGGCTGCGTCGTCCCACGGGCACTTTGCCGGCGGTGAAGGGGCGATGCCACACCTTCGTCTTCATGTCCAGGTAGACAATCTCATGGCAGTAGGTCTCCTCCTGGCTGTGGTATGGGCTGTGCTTGTCGCCACGCCCCCCAAAGATATACATGCGTTCCTCCTCGTAAGCAACGGCGGCATGAAAATCCCGATAGGTCGGCGGCACACCGAACGTTTGCACATAGCGCCATTCCATTGTGTCCAGATTGAGCGCATGCACATCGCTGCTGAACTCATTGATCTCGTCCACAAATCCCCCGAAGATGTACATGCAATGGCCAATGACGCACGCCGAGTGGCCATCCCGAGCGCCCGGCAGGCAGCCGCTGACCGTCGGACGAGTCCAGCGCGCCGTCTTCGGATCGAAGCAATAGAGCACATTGCAGAGATGCTCATCATTGCGGCCGCCCCAGATGTAGATGCGCTCCTTGTAGGCGACAACAGTGTGGCCATAGCGCTGGAACGGCACCAGCGGATACTTCAACGGATCCCCATCCGAATCGCATTGCTGCGGCACCAGAGTCCAGCGCAGCGAGTGCACGTTCAGCACATGGACATCGATCGGCTCATTGAAGCGATAATCGTCGCCGGTGCAATAGCCCCCAAAGCTATAGATGAAGTCCCCAACGCCAACGGCGGCATGATTCACCCGCTGCGGCCCGCCGTCCAGATGCACCGTCCACAGCATGCTACCACGGTTGCGAGCTCACTGATGATGAGAATAGATGGATTAGTAAAGCAACTGAATTTTCAAATTGACCAGTAAAGATGGCAAAAAAAAAAAAAAAGTCCATTGATCGGTTTAAGGTTTCTTGTATATCTAGTAAACTCGGAGGAACAAATTTTAGTACCTTTATAAAACTATATATGTTTTATTTAGACTATCTATGTTCGTCTTAATTGAACGAACAGAAATCAGTAAAGACCTAACTCACATCAACTTCGCAGCATACTTTGATCCGAAAAAAATGGAATCAGTAATGAGCATAGAGTTAACACATGTTAACTCAGGTATCAAAGAAGATAAAAATCGGAAATTATGTAGAGTTTTGATAAGCCAGAATAGTACTCCTAATTCCCACTCAAAATCCCTTGGAAACCCGTATAAATATATACATATATAGTAGAGAATTGGGTATACCAGAAAAATATGAATACAGATATGATAGAGTCATACCAGGAAATTTGAATTCCCACCCAAAAGGTCTTGGAAAACCATACAAATATATATCTAATAGACACTTAGGTATACCAGAAAATTATTAATACAGAGTCACACCAGGAAATTGGAGTTCCCACCCAATAACTCTTGGAAAACCATATAAATACATATATATAATAGGTATTCCAGAAAATTACTAATACAGATATAATAGGCTCATACCTGGAAAACATATTGATACACATACCATAAAGTCTTTGGGATACCAGAAAAACTTGTTTTCATACCAACAGACTTAGCATTTATATATTTTACTTCTTATAAATTCAATATAAGCGTTTACATTCCATTGAACCTGAAAACACTTGTGTGGATACAACAAAGGTGAGTAAACCTTAAAAAGAAATCTAGTTCTATATTGGGAGTTCCTATACATATACATATAGATCTATTTATTTAACATGTTAAAGTACTTAAGTAAGGAAAAAACATTTTCAAGTTCTATTGTTTTCATTTTCTAGCGAGCAAAGAAATCAAATATTTTGAAGATATCTACAGATGTCAATAGACTGAAATTGTTATTCAGAATTCCTGTAAATACATATATTTCCATATATATGTCTATCTAAAAACCGAGCACTCTGAAATCAATTTCGAGCTTGAAGACATTTACAGAAATATTGCGCTACTGCTTGTGCATTGATACGAGGTCAATTTACTGGGCAAATCAGAGAATTAAAATTACCTTCAACGAACAAAAAAAAAAAAAAAAAACAAAATTTTATATAAATCTTACATTGAACATATCCACTTGCTAATTGGAAACCAATGAAGCGTAAGGCGTTATAAATTTATACACATTAAGCTAAGCTATTTGAAAATGAGAAGCTAAACCGATTATTGTTTTCGCAATCTAAATCCAGATTTGGCTGTTTTTAGCCTTCATGAGCTGGTTTTGGCTATATTTATATTGATTTTATATGATTTAATTGTCGATAATTTTGTTTGTTTATTTGCAGAAATAGTAAATTTACAACAATTTTTAGTTAATAAATTAAGCTTTTTTTAAAGCCCATAATCTGGCCGGCTATAAATCTAGCTATTTCTTCTTGTTTGGCCTCGAGTTTTTTAGCCTTAAATCTGATTGTTTTGGCTGCATTGAAATCGCTTTTTTTTTTTAGATTTAATGTGATTTACTGCTTAAGACTTTAATAACAAATAAAATAATTTGCTGAAATTTTTAATTTATTTAGTTTATAAATTTAGCTTGCCCATAATCTGGCCGGTTATAAGTCTAGCTATTATTTTTCTTTGCCTCGAGTTATCTTTTTTTTTTTAGCCTTAAATCAATTTGTTTTTGGCTGCATTGACGATTTCAGGGTCCCCGAGCTTCAATTTAGCATGAATGTAGATAAATGCGAATTGTATTTGTGGGTGATTCATTTACAACAATAATGCAAGCTTTGTGCTTGTAGCAATTTGCTGCAATCTCCTCTATTTCAGATTGCATTGCAATAACAATTTGAAGTAGGAAAACAAAAATAAAACAATTGATTTGTTGAAATTTCACAAACGATTTCTTGCACATTGCCAATGTGTTGCTGTCCTTTTCTGCAATTGGGCAATTGCTTTCGATTGGCAATGCATATCAATATATCACCACTATGTACATAATTATTATCTGACCAAGGGGCCTTGGGATTTGCACATTTATTAATGCTTACCTCACACACAACGCCTATTGCACTGGGCCAGCGCCGCCTGTCAACCGTTTTGAAACAATTGTTTGCCTTGCAAACACACACTCACACACACGCGCACACACACTAAACAAAATGGTAACAATTTTTAATAATCCCGTTTTTGATTACTTACACGCCAGGGACTTGTGAGTTAGGCGCGTGCTACTCTATATATATGCTGTGTGAGAATTGTGTGTGCTTTTCTTTTTGTGCAGCAGCAGTAGCAACTTCTTTTTGGGCAATTCCGATTACTGCGTATCGATAGTATCGATATTTTGTGGTATGTGTGGTGTGTGTCTGATGTGTAGTGTGGCCAGAGTGCTGGAAATAATTGAGGTCTGTTAAAAATTCCCCACACAATCACAAACACACCAGCGCCCCCACAGCAGAAAAGCACGCAAAATGAGCGAACGCAAACAAATATTGTATTCGGTTCAATAAATTCATAGAAATTTTAATAATGCAAAAGTGTTGCATTAGTATTATGCAAACGGTGTAAAGAACCACAATCAAGTGTCATTTACTCAGTGGGTCGTTATTGCTCTGATTTGTTTGTGTGCGTGCGTGTGTGTGTATGTTTGTGCTTGACTGTTTGGTGTGTGTGCGTGTGTGTATGCGCGCGTGTCTGTGTATGGCACAAAACAATAAACACACACAAGAAAACTGCAACTGCAACTGCAACAGAACCGTAAGTTCTCATACGCTTTTGCGTGCTCAAAAATTTGACATTTGTTGCTGTTTTTTCTCTATTTTTTTTTGTATAATTGTTCGAAGATGATTCCCTTTTATATTATCCGTCTATTTACATTTGTAGTATATACAAACATACATATGAATACACATCGCCAACAATCTAAATATGTACATAGATAGGTATGTGTTTAGCGAAAGACCAAATTATTATGTATTCACATGCATTAGCATTGTAGTGCTCTCTTCTACTTCCCATAGGCACAGAGAGAGGGCAATTCACACACACATAGGCGCTGCAGTAAAAACAACAAAACATCGATGTAAGCACTGCAACGCAGTTTGCTGCGTATGCAAAAAAAAAAAAAAAAAAAAAAAGGCCCAAACAAGAATTCTGTTTCGCCATCAGCATTGTATATTCACGTCTCCTTACATACACATAAAGGAACCTATGAGTGTATATGTGGATAATGAGTGCATGTATATATGTTATTAGTGAGTGTAGTGGGATATGGAGAGGGAGAGGGACACTGCTGCTGGTGCTAAACAAATTGCGTCTTTTAGCAACTCCGAAGTGCGATAAACATTGGCAAGTGTGAGCGAGAACTTCGTTATGAAAGTTCATTCATCTGATCTCTCTTTCGCGGCCATCCAGTTGGCTCCGCTGTTTTCTCTAGTCTCAGCTGTTCTTAAAAAGCCAAGGACCACTTCGTTGTTGCTGTGGTTTTGTTTGTTGTGTTTGAGTATTGAACCATGCGAACTTATACACACATATACAGAGAGCAGCTGTGTATTGCGCATGTGTATGCCGAGGCGTCGGTAACGCCACCACAGACACAGCTGTTTCTGCGCTGTATTTTTGTTTACGCTTTCTCTCTATCTCGTTTTACCTTAGCACTCGCTTGCTCTCGCGCACTGGCTCGCTTGTTGGCATTTTTCGCCGACTGCGTCGCTGGCGTCGCAACGCAATAAATTTTGTGTTGTTATTTTCTTTTGCGGTCTGATAAGATTATTATTTTTGTTTCATCAGCTGTTGGATGTTTTCTGTTTTTTTATTCGCATTTTGTGATAGTACCCTATGTCGTCTCTTTTACACAAAAGCAGTGCGCATTTTTTGCGTCTTTATTTATTTATTTGTTTTTTTTTTTTCTTTTTTCCTTTTGGTATACTTCTCATAAACAGTTATTCATATTTCTATTTTCTCCGTTGCCACTGACGATATTGACCTCAGCTAAAAAGAAAGACACCACGAAATCACAATACAATCACAACAACACCATCAGCTGCTCAGTGAGCGCTGTGTGTGTGTGTGTGTGAGTGAGTGAGTGATGCGTGGGGTATTTTCGTTGTGTTGTTGCTCCGTTGGGCTTTCCTCTTTTTGTATGTAAGAAAGAGAGTGATAAAGTTGAGAATTACCCTGCGATGGCAAATAATGTATTTGAAAAACATTATATTGTGGATTGAGTAATACAAAAATTAATTGCCGATTACATTGACATAGAGATCAATGAGGCTCAACTTAATCAAGTTTGTATATTCATATGTACATACAAATGTATGTATGTGGTCAGAGCTACCTATTTATTTTGCCCAGCTTGCAGGGTATAAAAACACGACGCAAAAGTTCTATTGACGTGAAAGGCGCGCGAAATAATAAAAGAAAAAAATGAAATCACAACGGTTGAGTTACAACAACAACAACAACAACGATAAGAAATGAATACCATGATTGGGGATGAGTGTTTAAAATTGTTGCTTTTGGTTTTGTGCACATATAACTGTAAATGCGTATTGTTAATTGAATAAGAACATGCTGAATTAGTTTCTGAATCAGCTGCACTAAGCTGTAGATCGCCAGAGTCACTTGCAGCAGCAGCAGCAGCATCGGCCGGCGGACGTGAGAGATGGGGGATTGGCGCAAAGTCATGTTAGCAGCAGTAGTTAGCTCGACGACGCATACTGAAGCCGACAGCAACTGAGCAGAGAAAGATACAAATACACACACACACACACACACACACACACACACACACACACACATATATATATATATATATATATATATATATATATATATATATATATATATATATATATATATATATATATATATATATATATATATATATATATATATATATATACACTTACATATATATACAACACGGCAACTGGCAACGATGTTCTTACCGTTAGTCGGCATATTGTATAAAATTACAGTGAAGCTCATAACTATTGTGCCAGCTAAAGGCGTTTATAAAGATGGAGTAGATCAGTAGGGGTACATATGTATGTATATATTTGGGATGAATGATGAATGAATCCGGTTGGACTTAAAGGTACCTTTCACTAAATATTGAAATCTAAAATTCATTGTATAGCAATTCTATTATTTTGTTAATAAACAACCAATAGGTTTACTTTATACTAGGAAATTATATGATATGACATGATAGATAGAGCTAAAATGATTTGTATATATTCAATAACTCTTTATTTGTTTATATATATGTATGTATGTATAAACAAAATTGATTTATTGTTGCTTTGTTCAAGTATGTTTAGTAAACACTGTCCTCCAGATATATGTAGTATGTATGTGTATGTGTACTTACTTTTATGACGGTGAGTGTGGCACGCATGCTCCATGGTGGCAATTCGTACGCCGCGGCTGTAGCTGTGTCATGGCTCTCCGGTTTTATGTGCCCACACTTAGGCACCGAACGACAACAACAGCAACAACAACAACAAGAAAATCAGGCAGAGCAATAACAAGAATATTGGGTTAACATTTCTAACGGTAATTGGTGCGCCGTACATATAGACTTTTGCATTCACCTTGCACATTCACACACGCACGCACACATGCATACATACATATAGCGGGACATGCGTTATTATTATTGTGAGCTAAGTAAGTGCATAAAGCAGTTGAGATTTAGTTTGATCAAGATTTTTGTTGATTGCATTTAATATGCGTATGCACACGTATGTATGTATGTGTGCATGCGCGTATGTGTGGTATACATATGTATATGTATGCATATTTATTGCTGTTCTTATTTGTCCATTTTGCAATTGAGGCGCTGCTTGTTGCGTTACTCTGCGCTGCACTCGTCACTGCCACCTGTATGCCGCTTTTGTTGCCTTTTCTTTTCTTCTTTGTTTGTTGCTGGGTTGCGCGGCTGCTGGCTGTTGCTGCTGCTGCTGCTGGCGCTGCTGCTGCCATCGTCGCTGCTACCGACGACAGCCAGCAACAGTGGAACGCAGCAGCGGCGCTGCCCGTCAGTCGTTCGTTACATTTCGCATAGCGCGCTTTGCTTTTTGATTGCAAAATAAAAGTGAAGTGGCAAAACAGCAAAAAGCTAAAGACAAAAAAAAAAGTATATATATGCGCATTTGTATATGTATATACATATAAGAAATATACAAAAATTAATAGAAATCAAAACGTAAGCGAGTTGGTGCCAAAGAACTCTCTCAGCTTCCTTTTCACATTCACACTGGTTCATTGTTTGGTTCACTGAACTCACTCAATTTTTCGGCTGCTTATTGTTTTTTTTTTTTTTTGCGTGGCTTGTGTGTGTGAGTGCTGCGTGCGTTTTTATTTGTTTTTGTCTGTGCGGTGTTTCGTTTGTTTTGAAAAAAAAAAAAAACAAAACAAAAAATGATGACGTTCGATTAAAGTTTTAGGCGCCAAAAGTTGTCACAATTTTGTTAATTTCATTTGCTAATTAATATTGAAAGTCTGATATTTATTCAAATAATGCCTTGCTCCTTGTACCCGGCTTCCCTCACACTCTATCCCTCCCTCTCTCTTTCTCTCTCTCTCTCTCTCTCTCTCTCTCACTCTCGCTCCCTGCTTCACTTGTAGAGCAGGCAACGCTTTGTTGTCTGGTCCAATGCATTGCGCCAGCCAGAAACCTCGGCCAAGTGCATTTCCCTGTTGGCCGCCCCCTCCCTGGGGCGCTGTGTTGGCACTGTTGCTTCTTTGTTCACGCCGCGCACTCTCGCTCCCTCTGTCTCACTCCCCTTCTCTCTCACTCTCTCTCTCTCTCTCTCGCTCAGGCATGCAGTGGCCCGTTCACTCCTGTTTCCTTTGTCTTAGTCGTCGACATTCGCGTCAGCAGCCAATTTGCATTAGAGATTGAACAGAAACCCCAACGATGAAGATGACGACGTTGTTTTTGTTGTTGTTGTTGTCGAGGGCTTGGCTACAACAAATAAAAAGCAACAAGGGTGCTAATTATGGAAAATAGAGCGTTTACATACATATTCATATACATGTACATATATATATATATATATATATATATATATATATATGTCTTTACCACATAAGTATATAGATATATATATATATTTTTCAATATATTTATGTACCTGCTTGTAGTTCCCTAGATAGTTCGAAACTCTCAACAGTTCAGCGGGGTAGACAAATGCACAAATGTAAACTTTGCACTAAACTTGACCTTTGAGTATTGTCTAACTATGCTGTTCATTTCCACAGACTTACACAGGTCCACAATGTCCCAAGCCACTTTATAGAAATTAGTGTTGAGAAAAAAAGGATTTTTTTTTTTTTTTATAAATATGTTCGTATATAAAAAGTGTGTGTTAGTTATCAATGAAATATATTTATGTATATTTTTATATATTAATAATCTATTATTTATATATTATTCATATATACATATACGCATATAGTTCATATCAGCTATTATCAAAATTGTACCTGTGCTGACAGCTGTGTTCATTATAGTAGAAGCGCAGTTGTTTTAAATGCAAATGTTTGGAATATAAATGAAACACAGATAAGAAAGTATAAAAAAATATTTACTTTTTTTCTTGAATTTTTAACGTTTTTTTTTATTTCACTGAGAAAATTAGTTTAGCTAAAAATTGCATAAAAAATAGTAGAAAAATGAGTTGAAAAATGTTTTCAGGCATTCTGAATATTTCATTATTATTGTAAAGCATATTAACTATATCACTATATAAGTACATAAATGTATAGCCGGCTATGAATTCTTCTCTATTTCTAAAACTAAAGATTTCAAATAATATACTAAAAATACTGATGGTAATTTAAAAAAAAACAACTTAAATTTGCAGATAAAAGCACTGAATATTAGTTAGAAAAAAACTCAATAAATTTAATTATAGAAATAAATATAAAATATAAAATATAAAGTAGTTGCATATATCGTGGCCTCACTGTACACATATCGATCACATTAACTGAATCAACTATTCAGTGACAAAAGCCAGCCCAAGGGGTGAATGCGAATAGAGTTTACGCTGTGGTTATCTGTGTGTGTGTGTGTGTGGGGGGGGGAGGGGTACTGGTTGCTAGACGAAGTCATGAATCATTTGGGTGTCATTTGGAGAGAACAGCTGTTAACTGTTAATGTTGGGAAGCAGACTCGAATGGCTCTTGGGTTTCTATACGGCCGGGGCACTATATGATGATAAATCAATTATTAGCCAAAAGATGCTAATGGCAAAATCGACTGCAGTCCATCATAATTATTGACTTGTAGTTTGTGCTCTGCCACTCCCCCCCTCCTCCCAACTCACTCCCTCTTTCTGTTTTGCTGAAGTGAAATGCAGTCGACTCGTTGCTCTTACCATTTAGGACTATGTGCATATACTGTATATATATATATGTGTGTGTGTGTGTGTGTGTGCGTGTGCTTTGCCCGGCTATTAGGCCATATTTGTAGTTTGGCTGAAATATGGCTGTGGCCAGCGACTTGCAAATGGAAATCAATAATGGAAATGCACCGACCTTATTGTGATTTTTCCCTCGCACTATCTCTCTTTCTCTCTCTCTATCTCTCTGTCTGTCTCTCTCTTTCTTTGTATTTCTCTCTGTCCCTTTCTCGCCCTCACTGCCCGCTCTTTGTTGTAGCTACAAATTGTTCTCATACAATATTATATAGCTCGTCTATATGCAAACAAGGAAACGTAATTTTTCTGGGGTATACTTGACTAGCAGATACGCTACTGCCTGCTCACTCTGAGGTACTTGAGAATACTTGAGAATATATACCTATATTTAAATAGCTTTCCTATAGATAGCTACTGAATACCCCTCAACGACTTCCGCTATAGATAAAAAATGTATATATATTTATTTTTTATGAACTATGTATGTATACTAACTGGAATTTTAATGAAACAGAATTAATTTATTCCTGAAATTATGCCTTACATAAATTAAAGTAAATTTTTTATGATTATTTAAGCACTTTGTCTATGATAATTTATCCGTTGTACTTCCTGTCGGAAATGAGTTAATTTACAATAAGTGGAGTTGCTTAAAGTTTATAATCGATATTGTTTAACACTGACATTTCTAGTGTTGGCAAATACCCAAGCTTCAAATATGCCCAGCACGTATCTTTTGACACTTCTGAACATACATTAATAAAGCCCATTTTCCAACTGTGCACAGGGTACAAAAAAAAAAAAAAAAAAAAGAAAGAAAGCTCTAGTCGAGTGTGCTCGACTACGAGATCCCCTGAACCCTTCGAGCAATAGCTATTTCACACACACGCACACACACACACACTCATACACACACAAATACTAACAAACATACACAGACACATACTCACACACATACACAAACACATACACACACATCACCCACGCATAAACACGCATGGACTGCAGTATGCGCTTACTATGAGAACTTAATTGTTTAATAATAATAATAATTTTTGTGGATATAAGATCTTCATGAAACTTTCAGATTTTGATTATAACATGAATATGCATGTATTTGCCAAAGCACAAGTCTGTAGTATTTGAAATACGCTTTTTTACAAACATGTGGGTGAGGGGGTGGATATAGAGGTGAGGGGTAAATTTTAACAAAAACCGAAATTGCATAAATTGCATATAAGCATACATTAAAAATATGGAGACTCTAGCAATAAAGGTGTATAATTTTATAACTGGTTTTCGATAGGGTTTTTATCGATAAAAATGATCGGGATTATCGATTTTTAATGATAAACTCGATATCCGCGCTGTAAATACGGACATTTAAAAAAAATGAAGTCTCTAGCTCTTATATCTTCGAAAATCGACGCGTTCAAACATACGGACAGACGGACGGACGGACGGACGGACAGACGGACAGACAGACAGACGGACAGGGCCAAATCAACTCAGCTCGTCGCCCCGATCAAGAATATATATACTTTGTGGGGTTTGCCACGCCTCCTTCTGCCTGTTACATACATTTCAACAAAACCATTATACCCTGATTTCCCATTGAAAATGGGTTCAGGGTATAAAAAGGAAAATTAATATTCATTTGGCTTTGTCTTCTTGTCTTTGGCAGAATATCTGATACACCAACATACAAATATATATATATATATACATATACGTGTACATTTGTCGACGTGCACTCATACATATGCGCAAGCATATAAACGCTAAGGAGGAACGCACGTGGAACGCGAAAATTTGCAGTCAGAGCATAGGTCACAGCCAGAGCGATCAGATAGCAGGCACTGAGTGAAGCCAACTCGATTGTATTGCTGCAGCTGCTGGTTCTGCATATGTGTGACCCGAGACCCGGTGACAAGCGCTGGACATAATCGTTCAATGACAGCAGCCACAATTGCTGCCACCGCCACCGCCACCGCCACCGCCACCTCAACTGCCTCTGACTCTGATTCTGCTTCAGTCTCTGTCTCTGTCTCTGGCTCTGCCTTTGTCTCTGTCTCTGTCGCTGTCACTGTCTCTGCCGCAGCGCTGTCCGCTGCAAGCAACGCGAGCAGTTAACGCCCAACAGCAGCAGCAGGAAAAGGCTCGGCTTAATCCGGTCCCCCAGCAGGTGAGCTGAACATGAAATAATTGAGGGCAAAAAAAGAAAGTACAGAACAAAAATGCAAAGTTAACGAGTCAGAAATCCCTGGGGGATTATCTGAAAGTTAAGCTTTAACTGCAAGTTAAGCTGATTCTGCTCAGAACAAGTCCAAAATTCCCAGAGTTAGAGTTTAACGAAAGTTAAGCTTTAAGCTCTGTTAATATGTGTGCAATTTTCTGTTGCAGAGTTTTATGAAAGTTGAGCTTTACATATTATAAATTATCTTTACAGAATGTAAAACATTTAACATTTAACTATTTTAATAATTTACTGGAAGCTCACTTTCTGTAAAGCGTTTTAGCCCTTAGTCATTTCAGTTTTCCCTTATATGAGAGCTTAATTAACGTTATTTATATATTACAGCGCGCCTTTATGCAGTCAAGAGCTCAACGCTGTGACTGAGAACAGTCCAATCAACGATCAGGACTATTTATCGACGCTCAACCAGCTAAAAGCCAAGCCAAACCACACGCCCAACAGATAAAGTAACAGCAACTGTAACAGCAACAGCAACTGTAACAGCAACAGCAACAGTAGCCGTAACAGCAACAGTAGCCGTAACAGCAACAGTAGCCGTAACAGCAACTGTAACAGCAACAGCAACTGTAACAGCAACAGCAACTGTAACAGCAACAGCAACTGTAACAGCAACAGCAACTGTAACAGCAACAGCAACTGTAACAGCAACAGCAACAGTAGCTGTAACAGCAACTGCAATCAGCCAGAGCAACAATGGTGAAAACATTTCAGGCCTATTTACCGTCCACAAATCGGACCTACTCATGTGTTCATTGCCGTGCACATCTGGCATCGCACGACGAGCTCATCTCAAAGTCGTTTCAGGGTAGCCAGGGACCGGCATACCTATTCAATTCGGTGGTAAATGTGGCCTGCGGCCAGACGGAGGAGCGTGTCCTGCTCACCGGACTGCATGCGGTCGCTGATATTTACTGTGAGTGCTGCAAGACGCCGCTTGGCTGGAAATATGAGCATGCGTACGAGTCCAGCCAGAAGTACAAGGAGGGAAAATTCATTATCGAATTGGCCCACATGATCAAGGAGAATGGCTGGGATTGAAGGGAGCGAAGCGGACGTTGTGCGTTAAGCATTTTTTGGTGGGCTGGTAGTCCGGGCGGCTTTGGGTAACGTTTTAAATCCGGCAATAGCAACGACAGCAACGATACGTTGTTGGCAGATGGCAGAAAATGGCTTGGAGCCAAAGTTGGAGCAAGCGAGTGCAACGGCGAGAGCAAGCGAAAGGTAGTGTGGGGGGGGGGAGGGGGAGGGGAGGGGTTAGCGTGAGAGAGATGGATAGATAGCGCCGACGATCAGTCGAGCTAGCGAGCTGATGAGTGTTAGGGTACCATAATATATATATACTATTATATAGTACATAACTCGTCGTATCTTATAGAACAAAACCAACAGAAATGCATACTCTCACACATACACAGCCACACACACCCATCCACAGACACCCACACACACAGACAGACACACACACACACACAGACACATTGACACTATGAAAGTTCCAGTTTTGGAGCTTCGCGAAGAGATCTCTGCGCTGGACGCAACAGTAGCAGCAAATTCAATTGGCGCCATCTGTCGGCGAGCGCGTCCAACTATTATTCGTATTTCGTATTCGGTTTTGTTGCCAGTTATTTGTTGCTTCTCGATTTGTTTATCAATATTCAATAAGTGAAAAAAATTTATGAAAACAATTTTGTTTTTATTGTCTTTTGTTTTACGGGTTTTCCTTGTTGTGTATTTGTTTTTCTTCATTCGTTCTACTGTTTGAGTTTTGTGCACAAAAATGGAACACAAAAAACTTGCACTGCCAATAAACGGGAATATATGAGGAAAAATGCTTTAGCAACAAATGCAACAAAAACAATTTCATTCAATAGGAAAGAGCAACAAATTTGATGCATTCGAATCCACCCACCCAGACACACACACATTCACAAAGACACACACACACGCACATTTATGATTACACCTTTTCAATGTAGTAGTTATTTAAAAGAAATATTTAAAGAAAACAAATCAAATTATTTAGCTTGCGAATCTGCATAAACTATTTATATTAAAAAAAAAAAAATGTAAAAAAGCGCAAGGAAATGCAAAAATAATGAAAAAAAAAAAAAAACAAATATGAATAAACAGCAAATTGTGAATGCCAATAAAGAAAAAATTAAATATATATATATATGTATATGTATATGCGTATGCAAAGAATAGCAGCCAGAGGGCGCCACATAAGTGTATTATGTTTTTAACCGCCAGATGGCGCCACAGATAAATGTATTAAGTGTGATGATGATTCGCAACATTTTTGAAATAATTAGCAATAAAAAAGAGAACAAAAAAGAAAAAAAAATATATATATTAAATAATAATAAAACTATATTCGGAAAGTCTTAAATTTTAAATTAAAGAAAAATGCTGAATATGCACAACAAATTTATGAAATATGTGAAAGAAATAATATAAAATACATTATTTACATACATACATACATATATATATGTATACAAATTGAAAACAAAAATCAAAGAAAAGCGTAAACATCAGCAGCAGTGAAATTCTTAAATTAAACTAAATTAATATGCAAAATAACTGCCAAGAACTATTCGAGTTAATGATGTTCTCTAAGTAGTCATAACTAAATCAATATATATATATGTATATGTATACTATGTATGAGAATATATATATATTTTGTGGTAGCCATAAAAATAAAAAATAAAATAATAAAAACAAAACGAAATCAATTTATTCATTTCACTTACGTGAATGAGTATAAAAACGATAAGCGAAATCATACAATAAATGGAAATCTCTTGAAAAATTAAAAAAAAAAAAAAAAATTCAAAGTTGCCTCAAAACTAAAAATTAATGAATGTTTGGGTATTATAATATAAATCATTTGGGTAACCAAAAACAAATCAATATGAAAAGTTAGTACAGAAAAGGAATTTAAATTTTATTAAATTTAATTAACTATGTGGAATTTTAATTAAACATTACACAAATACAACAATATTGTTGGAATTATGGTTTTTACACAAAAATGTCCTTAAAGTATTATTATTTCTGTACATCAAACACTTTTCAGTTGTTTTCTATAATTGTGTTGTCCAATTGGAGTTTCTAAATCACAGCTCGCATATAACTGTTAACCGTTTGATTCCTTAAGCTCAGTTCGCGAAATCAATCCAAAAATATCATACTTTCTCGTTCTCTCTTTCACGTCCTAAGCAAAAAACTTTGTCTCTTGAGTTGAGCTTTCGTGTGCCGCTCTTTTAGCGAACTGAGTCAGTTAGTGAGCAAATTGCTCAAAGAGTCAATGCAATTGGTCTTCATAGTGCACACACTCACGCTATTGGTGTGCTTAGCGAACACAGCCTAAGCATACTGACACACACAAATTACTGCATTCCACTCAACGAAACGGTTGAGGAATAGTCAGAACGAAACAACAACAGAAACGGTTATTAACCGATCGCAAACGAAGTCGGCAGCCTCTGAGTTTTTTTTTCTCAAAATTAGAGTGAAAGACACTTATTTGCAGACATCGTGAAGCGGTTAACAGTGATTTGCGGGCTATGGCTTTAACATAAAATGTTCTCTGTCAGAGAAGTTCTGGTCTCAACTTCTACAAAATTTATAAGCCCCGATCAAGTATTTGGCTTAATTTATTTATTGAAAAAAAAAAAAAAAAAAAAATTAAGGAAAAGAAAAACGAAATTGAATTATTAAATTGTACTTATTAAGCAAGATTGTATCATTTATGAGCACCAACAATAATCATCAGATTTAGATGATAATAATCTAGTTCTTAATCTTCTTTCCGTATTTAAAACATGAATGAATTTGCATGTACTAGAATTCTCATGCAAAACGTGATATATGTAGATAATTGATGTACTATTGATGTAAACATATTAGAGAGATTATATTTAGCAAACGCTACGGAATGTACATATGTTTGTATGTATACAGGTCTGATATACATACACACATACATATACATATATACATACATACATACAAACTAACATGAACATGAAACCACCTTGATACGTGCACTATATCCAGTGTAGAATTATGCATATTCATAGTACTATACTTAGTACAGTGGACAGCCAATAAAACGAACGAACGAATGCACGTCACATCACAATCATACCAGGATTATAATGTTTGAAAGTTGTGTTAACTGCATGACAGACGCTTAGTTTGCAAATGGAAATTTAAATTAAAAAAAAAAGTGTATGTATATACTATATAGATATATAATATTTAAAAAGTATATATATATATATCAATTGATGTATTCGAAATGCAAGATTGAAATAAAGCGCATTTTAGCTTGTCTCATTTTAGTGTGTCAAGAAATCTGGGCCAGACCTATGAAGGGTTAAGATTTAATTCAAATGATTTATAAAATTTTACATTCTCAATTTGTATGAACTACAATTTTACTTATTCGATAGGTAAAAAGTGTAAATAATGCTGGTCTTTTATTTTCGATAGGGCTAGTTCTACTAAGTATATCAGCCGTATATAGCTGTAAATAATGGTAAATTCTCATTTTCGTCGTCATAGCTGATTAATTTTTGTACATAACTAAATTTATTTCATTCAAATCGGAGTTTTCTTTAAAGAGATATTAACGTTTAAGCATTCAGAAATGTCAAGCTCTTTAGAACCCATGAAAATTGGACGCTGTCATGACTACTTTTGTGATATGAGGTAGACTCAGAATATATGCCTTTGGATACAGTCAAAGTATAGATCGTTTATTTCAAGAAATATTTTTAATATTTTTGCAATTGATTAAGAAGAAAACAAATCAAGCATTTGGAAATAATTGAACTTAAGATCGCTATGCCTGTGGATAAGAACGTGTTTCTATATATAAACTTTTCAGCTACTTCTGGATAAGAAGAACACAAATCGAACACCCACCTGTCCTTATTTACCTTAAGATATAGATACAGTTAAGGCGCAAGTATAGATCACTGTATATAAAGTCCAAATTGTTGGTACTTCTGAGCGTTGAGAATAGAGAAACGCAACGAGAAACGACTCTATCTAAAGGATTTGACGATAATCCAACTGAAGATCACTAGGCCTATTCCTACAGTCAAGGCGGAAGTATAGTTAGTTTATATCAATACAATTGATCAAGAGAAAAGTCGAGCAGCGACTCTATTGACAGGAACTGGAGATGATAGAACCTATGCTATGCCTATGGATAAGAGAGCACTTCCATATATATTTATAAAGTGCTTCTTCTGTGCAAGACGTTATTATAATTGATCAAGAAGAAGACAGGCTGCGACTTTATCTACATTTACATCTACCTAAGATCTCTTAAGAATAAAAACCAAATGAGTTTTTGGAATGTTCGTCATGAAATTTAATATGCATTCAACTAAAATTAACAGTTATTTAACATATGTTCGAAGCTCAACATGTCTCTGTGTATGTGTGCGAGTATTTTTTTCTCTCTTCGCCTGTGTGGGTGTGTGTGTGTATGAGTGTGTTAATGGGGGCATGTCTGAGTATGTGTGTATGGGTGCTTATCTGTGTGAGTGTGTACGAAAATATGAGCTTGTGGTAATGTTACTATTGTGCAGCATTTCATTCAAGGTGTGTGTGCGTGTGTCTGTGTGTGTGTTTTTGTCTTGTTTTTTTTTTTTTGTCTTGATTTTTGTCTTACAATCACTTCCACTTGTTCTGGCTGTAATCCCATTTGGAGGAGAGTCCTGTTATGGGATTCATTTGCAGCTGTATGATGCGACGCAGCTGCGCCTGCCGATGCTCATCATCGTAGGTGATTGGCAAATCATCATAGATGGCCACATTGGAGACCAGCGAGATGAGCATGGCAAAGGATATGGCCCAAAGGGTGATGCCAATGGCCAGCTTCCATTCGGGCATAAAGTACTGGAACTCCGCATAGGTCTGGCAAAAGCTATGACGATACAGGGACTTCTTTTCGTCCAGCGATAGCTTCTTCCAGTCGCCCTGCTCCTTTTCGCGCATCGCGCAGATCTCCGGCGTGACCTCGCGATAGCGTATGGCCGGAAATGGAAAGTCCGAGCAGTCAATGTAGTTGGGGCTGCCATTGACGCCATAGCCCACAACTTCGCGCTTACCGCTCATCACTCGGGTGCCATCGTGATGGGTGAAACGGCGCATCAGCCGCAGATCCGCACTGCGGGCACGATGGGCGCCGCCAACCGATTTGGCCGCCCCGGCAATGACAGCAACGGCAGCTCCCGGCAAACGGCAGCCGGCGCAACGCAGCGAGTTCATCGTGGACGCGCTGCAGGAAGAGGATGAGCGAGCTGTTGGCCCCATTGCACTGTGGTTAGAGGATATAGAGGAACTCACCTCGAATATGCAGCTATTCGTATTTGCAGAATTTCTGGAAAATTAATTTAATTTTTTGTTTTTCTGGATTTTTTTTTTTTTTTTTTTTTGTTTTCCGGAGAAATGATGCCTGTGCTCCAGGCAAATAAATCTTACTGACTGACTGTCGGAAATCTGGCTCGTACACGCCTTTCCGTAGCAATTGACAGCTAGCCAGGGTTGTCGACTTTCATGCAGTAGGTTGTGAGAGGGAGGGGGGTGTCGCATCACTTCTATTTAATCAAAGTCGGCCAGGGGGGTCGCTCGCCAACTCAAGATGGAAAACAAAAAGAACATTCAAGCATACACACACACACACTCACACACAGACACACACACATGTGCATATGGACAATTTTACAGTTTTGCATTGGGATTGGCTTTGAAGCCAACTCAAGTGGCAGCGGGGCACTGAAATGAAATCAAATGAAAAGAATAGGCAGCTAATCCTTTAGACAGCCAGACCCAAGTGGCTGCAAAATGAAACTATAAAGAATGGGTCGAAGCCAGCGGCCAACAAGACGTGCAGAGAGAAAAAATAAATAAAAAGAAAATAGAAATCAAAACAAGTTGCAGTCGTGCATTACCGACTGCAGAATACTCGTTCACGGCGACAGATATTCACGGTATATGTATACATAGTACAGTGGAATCCGCTCAAGGAACCGTCGTTATAACCGGAAGACACTATAACCATATAAGTTTGCTCTTATAAGTTTCACTGGGAACCAGAATTTTCGTCGCAATAAGCGTACGGATGCTATAAGAGGAGTCGGTATAACCGGACTAACTGTATTAAATGTGCATGTTTTTGAATCAGTGCTGTCAACTCGATTATATATACCATATGTCCATTTAATAGCACTTCATGATTTCTGAAATGCCAAGAAAAGCATTTTCCGATTTGCCCTTGGTGGGTGAATTGGGAAAATCTTGACACTTTATAACTCTAGGATATACAGGATTTGCAAGACTCTAGCTTTAACATAGGTGAAATGGTTTCCATTCATACGGACGAATGGATAGACGAACAGACGGGCATTGCACAAAACTAATATACTCATTTCACTTTCGTCCGTCAGTATAAAAACGACACGAATTGAAAAAAATTACATGTGAGGGACACTCACAGACACGTGAAGGTCCACCGCAGGAACATCGCTCTCAGCTTCCCCCCACCTCTCTCCCTCTCTCTTACTGGTTTGCAGCAGTTGTCAATGCTTCGTCCAATTCTGACGTAGGTCAATTTAATTTGAGCAGATTGTAGAGCTGAAATGACTGTATCTATACATATGCCCCCACAACCCAACCCCTAACGCCCAACGCCCATCTACCCACGCCCAACTGTCTCAACTCAGCAAAAAAAAGAAAAAAAAAAAAAATTCAACCATTCATCCATTCACTTTGTTTCCTCCTTGTTTTGTCCTTTTTTTCTTGATACCCTTTCTGGGTGCTTCTGTATTCAATGCAAGAGCAAATGTTTTCACCTTACTCCTTCCTTTTTTCCTCAAATAAAACTGTGTTATAAGCTAAGTAATCCAAGCAAGGACTAATTTGACTTCTGCTATAAAGCCATAAAATTTTCTATAAAATTTCTATTACATACAATCTATATACAATAGAACAAGAATTGCTGTTTCAAACAAATATTATCTAGAGATCTGTGGAAATATTAAGTATACGACAATATCAGTGGTGCTGGGGGAGAGAGAAGGAGATAGATAGATAGAGAGAGAGAGAGAGAGAGAGAGAAAGGGAAGATATAGAACAATGGGACTATAATTATTACCTTACTATCACATAACACCAACATTTGTGGAAAAAAATAAAAACTATAAAAAAATTTTAAAAATATCCAAAATAAAAAAATCTTAAAAACATTTTTACCTAAAATTAAGAAGAAAAGAAAACAGAATTTTTTTGTAAAATAGTTATAATTATATTTTTATTTGCTTGCATATTTTTGGACAAAATATTTCATGCTAACATTTTTAATTCTAAAAAAATATTTATGAAATGGAAAAATAATTCTGTTTGCGCCAAAATATTTTAATATTAAAAGTACGAATTTGCGATTTTCATTTTATAGCCCGAAACTTGAAGGGGGCGTGGCACAACCCATAAAGTAAATCCACTCTTGATAAGGGCGACGAGCTGAGTCGAGTTAGCCTTGTCCGTTCGTCTGCCCTTTTTAAATGATTTAAAAAAAATATATACATATATATATATTTTTAAAAATATAATTTTTTTAGCTTTGAGAATATTTCTCAAATTAGCTATAAATAGATATATACAGTATATATTAGTGTTTAACTATTTATAAATAGATATATACAATATATATATTTTGTTAACAATATTTAATAAATTGTGCATAGTATGATAATTCGCTGGCAACTGTGGCTCCTTCTGCTCCCGCTGCTGCTGCTGCTGCTGCTGCTGTTGCTGCTCCTGGTCCTGCTGCTGCTGTTGTCAGCTCGCTTTTGCATTGTTTGATGTCGTGTTTGGTTTTGTAAGCATTTAATTAATACTGAAGCGACAAATAAAGCGCTTAAATGGCCTGCTCAGCGCATTCCGCTCGCAGCCAATGGCCGAATCCCATTAACACATGGGAAGCGCACGGCACAGCAGGCCAATCATATTTTTCACCCATGTCCAGCCAGAGGCGGGGGAGGTGGTGCGGGTGGAGTAGATGGAAGTGGAGCAGTGTATAGTGCAGTCAAGGCCTGGCTGTCAACACTTCAAAGTCTAATGGGAGTCAACGCACAAACACACACACACACACACAGACAGAGACAGAGAGAGAGAGAGAGAGAGAGAGAGAGTGAGAGTCGAGCACAGTTTAGTGCAGTTAGTTGACAGTCGACTGGCAGTGAGCCGTGCCCAGTTAGAAGTCGTTGCTGTCACATGCAATGCGCCATCATTCACATGCTCAACGACGAGAGCACACACACACATAGTCGTGCCCCCCTCCCCGCTCACTCTGCATACCCGACACACTTTTCACTCAATCACTTACTCCCCTTGTGCATATTGGTCCTGTGTGCAGTTGGTAGCTTTTAAGAGCTTTGTGTCTGCTGCATAGCGAATGGGTACATTGGTTCGATCGAGAACTGTAGAGCTGTAGTTATATAAATATATATATGTATATATGTACATACATATAGAAGTATTTAAATGATATTTCCATTTTCAATTTGAATGGCCAATAAGAGAGAGCGGATCAGCACTATGGTTAACTGTCAATAGATACACATACATACATACATCTATACTTAACCAAATCGATGACTGTGAGGCTGCCGATAGTTGCCGTGCTTAAGCAGAAGAAGAAGAGCGAGAGCGTACTTTTTAAGTTGAAGGTGAAGAGGCTCAGCAGCTGAGCTGTGGAAAAGATTTAAAGTAGAATCCGGTTATAACGGCGCTTAAGGGACCATCGTTATACCCTGACGACGCTATAGCCGTATAAGTTTCCTCATAAAAGTTTGCCTGTGTGTACAGAGTCGTTATAAACGAATTCTACTGTAATTAATTAGCTAAATAAATCGACATACATATAAATGTAATACATATATATATATATTCCTATGTATTCAGGGGAATTGGGTTTAAAGTTGTAGCAATTAAAAATGAAAATATCAAATAAATACAGTCGACTCTCGATAATTTGTACCCCGCTAAATTAAGAATCGTGATAAATCGTACAAATTCTCTCCCCTAAAAAAAAATTCGTTCTCGATAATTCTCGATAAATTGAAATTCGGCGGAAAAAAAACTGATCCCCTTGCCATTTCGAATTATCAGGAATCGGCTGTATATACAGAGTATATATGTCTGTATATATCTGCTGTACGAAATAATAGTAATAGTAGTAGTAATGCTGCTCTACCCAATATCTAGACACCGTATCGAACGAGGGTATACATGAGTAAGTGCTCTAAATTTCATACCGCCGAAATGGATTGCGTTCAAAAAAAGGTTAACTATCAATAGCCCTTCCCATAATTATTAATTTCAAACCATTTGAGCTTAGTTGCAGCAATTCAAAATTATTTGTATATCTTCAATTCGAATATCCTGGAATTCCTTAGCTTCCAGACCGTGTAGAGTCCACATACTGCATCTGGAAATCGCACATTTCCGCTACACCGAGTGATATATTAACCAATTTGCTTGGCATTAGTCAAAGGTAGTTTGTAAACGATTCAGGATCAGACAGCAATCGTATCCGAAGCAGCAAACATAATGCAACTGATGCCGACTGAAACTTACTTTAAATCTGTGTATATATGTGTGTGTGTGTGTTGGAGAAAAGCATCCAAGTGCCATAAAGCGACAAATCCATCAACGGCTCGAAAATGAAATGATGCGAAGCGTGAGCAATTCGTCTCGCATGAGCTCAACACGAATTGATGCGAGGGCAGTTCTATAACAAAGTGAAAGAGCAAAGGAAGCACGAAATTATATGAATATAAATCTATATACAGTAGAATCCGGTTATAAGGTCTCCAGGCAGTTCTATAAAAAAGTGAAATCTATATACAGTAAAATCCGGTTATAAGGTCTCCACTTATAGACAAAATTCTCTTAGACCAATATATGAGTATACGAAGGTCCTTTGACTATCGACTTTCTTTTTTCTAATATATAGAGTATTGTTTGATTTGGATATAGAAATCATAGTAATATATACATATACATATATTCGTATATGTTTGTAACAATAATATCAAACTCACAGCTGACTTTTTGCAACTACTCCGAAGATATGACATATATTTATGTAAGACTTGTCTAGTTAACACTCCAATTTCGTATAACTTCTCTCGCACTTTTCTAAACCACACTCCAATCTCGTATAACTGTTTTCCCACTTGCCTGATCAATACTCCAATTTCGAACATTTTCCCACAATATCAATGCTTGCCCTCGCATACGTCAAAGTGTGTCAATTGAATTGCGAGTGCGATGCTGACTCTGGGGTCGTATTCCTCGTCTGCGGTCTCTCAGCATTGGGCCTGCGGTCTACCAATGTGATGTAAGTAAAGCATTTTCCACATTACAGTTCACTATGTGGACGCGTTTGTCGTAAAAACTCTGCCTGGGCGCTAAAAAACAAAAACAAAACC